GTTCCTGCCCCAAAATAGCCCTGGTTGCCTGCCTCATTTCTAGCAGGAGAGGTGCAATGCAAAGAGTCATCTAAGGATCTGTGCCCAAGCAAATAGAAGTGAGTGACTCCCCGGCTCCTCTCCTTCAATACACACATGGATCCTTTATGACCCACACATCCCTTCCATTCTGCCACTTCCTCAGGTCTGAAAAAACACAAATTCTTAGCATTCTTGAAATATTTTGGGGAATTAGAATTTGGGCTTCTTTGTTGTAGAATCTAACTATTGTGGCTGGTGGATTTTCAAACTCTGTCCTTTCCCAAGGATGGAGAATTAACCTTGATAAGGTTTTATTCAGAGTAGTGGGTGGAGATTTGTGGCAAGCCCTGAAGGCCTCTGGAGGGAAATGAGTTACCTGGTAGCAACCAATGAGGTTTGGCAATATTTGCATATAGGGAGACTTATTAAAGTTTAGGGAACTGAAAGGGAACTCAGATGAGGAACTGAAGTTTGGATACTTCTAGGCAGCAATCTCTTTGTCCCAGGAAGCTGGGAATCTCTCACCATGGCCAAAGCCTTGATGCTCTTCCTGTTTCTCACTTTTTTGTGGGGTAAGATGGAGACTTAGCTAAAATAACTATTTAGCCAAGTGTCCTTACTTTGTGTTTCTCCCTTTTAACAGCCACAGCAACCCTCTCCCTATGATATTTCCATTCCATTTAATTTGTGCTTCTGATTTTGTTCTCAGGTTGCAATGCCCAATTTACATTGACTCAGCCGCACTTCGTGTCGGCCTCTGTGGCAGAGACTGTTAAGATCACTTGTACAAGAAGCAGTGGGAGCATAAGCAGCTACTATAATTCCTGGTACCAACAGAAGCCCGGCAGTGCTCCCATACTGCTCATATATGAGCATAGCACCAGAGCCTCAGGAATCTCCGACCGATTCTCAGGTTCTCTCGACAGCTCTGCCAATGCTGCCATCTTAACCATCTCCAGTGTCCAAGAAGACGATCAGGCCGATTATTACTGTTTCTCTTATGACAGCAGCTATAAGCCCACAATGATAAAACCACACGGGGAAGTGAGACGAAAACCTCTGTGCAGCAGATGTGCTTTGCATTGGTTGTGCTTGGCTTGATTCACTGACTGATTCTCCTGTGACCAGTCTGGTTAACTAGATGCAAGAGATGATGGTGCCCATGAGACCCATAAATCTTTTTATCAGGCTGTGAATCATGCTGAACAGGTGTGAAAGAGAGTGAGGGTTTTAAAAGCAGAAGAGTGTGGGGTGGTATTATACCCACCTCTTACCTGCAGCCTTTTTTTTTTTTTTTGCAATCCCATTTCCACCTGCAGGCCTCATATAGAGTCCCACAGCCCTCTTGAAATGGTGTGGGGAGCTTTCAACACCCTCCACTGGCCCCAGCGTCTCCACTTAAAACCATCCCTTCCCTTTACCTGCATATGCAAAATGAGGAGATTACACCTCAGCTGGGAAACGGAAAGGGCCAAGTTTATTTAATTATTTCAGGAGGAGCGGTGACACAGTGGGTATATCCCACTGTCTTAACATCTGAACTGTGTTAGTTCAAGCCCCGCTCTGGTGTGAGCAGCCAGCCTGTTGTCCCCAGCTCATCGTCCACCCAGCGATTCGAAAGCTTTGGCGAGTAGATAAAATGGGAACCACTCCTTAGAGAGGGTGGGCACGCCAACCTCCCTTGTGGGAGGGCGTTAGCTGACGGTTGGACGTTCCTGGTCAAGGCTTGTAAAGGCGAAACAACTTCCCGGCTACGAAAAGAACACCTGCAATGGATGTTTCAGCCAGGTGGTGGCAGTGTGGCGATTGACATACGGGTCCTGAGGCCTGGCCAGCATGCAGCCATGCGGGAAAATGACGGAGCCAGCCAGAAGACGTCTACACCGGGCAGTGACAGCACGTGCAATTAAAAGTGAATATATGTTGTCTTCCCTATCCCCTACAAACATTGTTATTCCCTTGTCTATATATGGAGTAACTGTACATCGCTTTGAGCCCACTGGAGAAAGCGATTAATAAATGGAAAGTATTATTATTTTATTATTATTTATATACGTCAATCAAAGGCTTCCATTCCCAGGTCCATGAAGACACTGAGGCCCCAGGCCTGGTCTGAGGGTCAACCCTTCACCATCTAAATGATGCCCAGGGTGTTCACCTAAGCTGTACCAAGTCCCATTCAAGCAACTTGACCCACACTGCTACCAGATACATGGAACAGCAATGCCTAGGCTTCACTGGAATGGTTCGATTACTTGTTACCCTTTTCAGAGTAGAGTCGGCAACCCCCCACCACCACCTGGGCTAGTGCCAATTCACCAGAGGGGGAAAAAATTTCGACTCAGCCCCCAAACGGGAGACCAGCTTGTTCCCACTCTTCAATAAAGGGAGGGAAGGTGGGTGTTTCTCTCACCGATGGTCGAAAAGAGAAGGGGGTGGGGCTTATGCCCGTGCTCATATAGGCTTTATCTCCCCTCCTCCAAATCCATCACAAAGAAAACAGCATCATGCTCTTTGGCTCATCCTTCCATTACTGTGGCAAACTCTGCTCCTTCTCCAGCTTCTTTGAGTCATGGATTCAGGAGCTGCCTTATGCCCATTCGGCTACAATCTAAAATGTGGGTCTGCTGCCATAATGCTCAGTTAGCCTCCTAGGAATTCTCTGGAACTTGGATATCTATATAGCCCCCGCTGAAACGGTGGCTCAGTTCAGACGTCACACAGAAATCCATAAATCCATGTAATGCCTTTTATTAAGACCACCCAAAAATGACACAGGGTACGGAAGGTGAAATACACGTATGTTGCCAGATTCAGACAAAATGATTGAGACTATCATGTGTAATGTGCTCTCCTGGTATGTTGTAGGAGGGCCAGAAGTGTAATGACAGAAAAGGACCATTGTGTGTAAACTTGTTATCAAAACCCCAGAGGCTACGTATGCATGAGGCAGTCCTTCAGCGGCCAGGAGGTGCCGCTGTTACCCCGCAGCTACAGTTTTTTATTTAAGAAAAGTTAGCATTTGTTTCTGTGACTTCTGAGCCTGATCTAGCGTGCTTTAGAGAGAATGATGATGAAAAGACTTCTGGTGTACCTCAAAGCAGGTGTGAGACAGGGTAGACAGACTGGGGTGAGGGATGGGGAGCTGGCAGAAGAAACCATGGGTGCCTCATCTTCCAGTCCTATAGGAGGGAAGCTTAGCCAATCTATATATCTAATAGCCAAGTTGCCCCCTCCGTGCGGATATCTATATCTGCACTTCGGGGGCACTTGGGGTGCAGGGAGAGGTTTGTGCACTCTTGGGGCAGTCCCCGGGGGTGCACAAAAATCTGAAAACTAAAAAAAAATATCGGGGGGATGTTTAAATCCCCCCGAAAGTGCCAGAGCGTTCGTGCGCATGCGCACGAACGCTCTGTAGCCGACCTTGCTCGGAGGCGGCCGGGTGGGCAGGCAGGCGGCCGGGGGAACAGCGAGGCCAGGGCAGCGAGGCCTGAGGCAGCCTTGATTCGGAGCCGAACGGGGGGGAGGAAACAGCCGCTCCAAGAGACACCCCCGCCGCCTCCCT